TGTGTGTGTGTGTGTGAAGGCTTGTATGTGTGTGAAATGAATTGAATGAGCTGATATTGATGAAGGGTGCCTCTCCTAGGAGATGTATGGTACAGTATGCAATCCCAGCTCTTACTCAACGATAATCAAAACGATAGTGCTGTGTGACGATAGAAATCGTTCCTAACTTCAGGGTTTGTGCGCTTGTGCAAGCAAATGTGTTTGTATGGACACGTGTGTGTGTGTGTGTGTTGTATGACAGGAACTGACTACAGATGGGGTGCTTTCCTCTGCACACAATAAGCCAGCTTTACTAAGTACTTGATCCATCAAGCTGCAAAGACGGTACTTTTTGTCATTTTAAAAATGGTACATAACATTTCTGAGGACAAGATTTATCCTGAAAGAACACATTTCTTGGGTTTGCTTTTATAAAAACCACACGTCGGCTCTGGACACTGGCTGGTTTCGGCGGCTCTGTGGCCTGGAATGGGTAGAGCTCCTCAGCAAAGCTGGTTCCTGCTTTGTGCTAATGTGAAACCGTCTCCCATCGTTGTAGTCTCAATCTGTAGCATGTTCAGGTAGCACTAGTACTGTAGCATCCTATAGCCTCCTCCTCTTCGTAAAGCTTGTTGATGTCATGTCTCAGTTACAGTCCGTAGTGTCAATGAGTGCGCAAACTGTTACTACTATAGCACATTTATTTCATATTTGCATCGAGTCTCCTTCAGTAGACACACATTTAGGTGGTGCAGCGTACGTTTCGGAGAGATGTGGGATAGGCTTGACATGTTATTGAGCTCAACGTTGTCTTCTAAGAAGCTAACAGTAAAAACGGTGCCTACATCCAGTGGAGCCATGTGGGGTAGAGCGCTGGTTGGTCCTCGCTTCCTTTTTCTTTCTTTCTTTCTTTCATTTGAGCCATTGTGCCACAGTAGACTTTCTCATTCATGTAACGCAGTAAAGAGTTGACGTGACCCCTGAAACATGAAGGCCTAATGGATATATACATAAAAATACACAGGCATGTACATTTTCTATGTCAGCATCTACTCTGCCGTCTCCGTTCTCCACCATATGACTTGATGAGCTGAGGTAGTGTAGCCAGCTGTTTGCGAGTGTTTTGATTGAAACAGGAAAAATTTGCACTGTTGTAGATATTTGATAGTATGTGTGACGTATGCAAGAGGAAACAGGCCATCTTCAATAGCCATATTGTTCATTATCGCCCACCTCATGAAACAGGCTTCGTGGAGTCCGATTCCCCTCCTCGCTCTAAAGAAAAATTGCACCACGGATATGATCTCACCTTTTTAGTTGTATTAAATTTTAAACTGAGGAGCAGTACAGTGTATGTAAATCAGGAAGTTTGTATATAGAGAATTAATGATTGTAACTGTATGATTGTCTGTAGGGCATTATACTGAAACACATTGCTTACCTCAAGACTTGAGACAAATCTCTTCTTTCTCTCTCCTGATGTTTGTTTGGCCTCTCAGTCAGACTCTATCTTTTTATGTTTCCTTGTACCTAGGCCTTCTCTCATACCAATTGGACATGTTATATAATGTATATTCAACACCTGAAGCACTACGTAATAGCAAACTAACACAAAAGCTGTCAATGTTATGTGTATTCTATTTAAAGACACATTTATAGACACTATATAGGCCCACACACGCTCTGATGCAGATCTGCAGATAAAAAAAAAATCCTTTTTAAATCGATCTATAATTGGCTGATGTTTACCATGTTTGAAATAAGCTGGTTTTCTTGTGGCTTCAGTGATAGTACAGTATACTTTTGCTGTGTTTAAGTGTTTGATGTCCTGAAAACACTCAGAAACAATCCAGTCTTTACAGCTACAGTCACAAACACTTCAATATATGATTGTAAAGATATAGGCTTGATTAGCAGTCATAATACGGTGTATGCTTTGACCTTGGTATATATTCAGTATCCAAACAAGGCCTGATTTATCCTCTCATATTACCAAAAGTTATATTTTCGGCAGTTGTAATAGATCATATTCTTATGCGTTGATCATCGTTTGGAATCTCCTCAGTTGTGAAACCAGAACCAAGAGAAAAAAAACAAAAAAAAACAAACGGGTTCTTGCAGGATGTCGGATGCTCTGAGAGGTGTGGTGTGAAGTTCTGCTTCCCACAGCAGCAGCTCGGCAAATACAATCACTTCTCTCAAGATCCTGCGCTTTATATGAAGGTGTTTTACTGTTGCTGTCGTCGTCATGTCCCTCAGAGCATTTTATGACTGTACCTTGATTGTAGAAGCCCTATTTTATACTGAGAGTTATTTCAGAATACAGTATGTGCTGTTGTACATTAAATGTATTGTATGGAGAAAGCTAAATAAATGCTGTTTAAAAACGAATTTATTTCTCTGTGGAATCACTGAACCTTGTGTGACTTTGTACTAAATCTAATTAATTGTACTTCTAGCACTATCCACACTACACACTATACAGTTAATTCCCCATTAACAGATCACTGCACTGCCGTATTGTACTAGCAGGAAATTATACAAAATGTGAGTCAATCAAACATAAGTTGCCAAAAAAACCTCCAAAGACCAAATTATTTTCCAATTTTTTTTCTCTCCAAGATCTTCCTGCAGCTTTCTCACCACTGTATTCAATTTTAGGGCTGCATCCATCCATTTCCAACATTGTTTGGAAAATCATTTTGCTTACTCCTAATTAAACTTAATTGGCAGCAATATTCTCAAGTCACAGTTTGATGGCCATCGACACAGGTTTGGTATATTGTTAGTACAATACATTAATATGTTGAATAATCTGTTGTGTACTTATTTGGAAACATATTAGTCTTTAAAAAGTCCAAAACTTAAAAATAAAAATAAAAACATCAAAAGTTCTGAAAGTTTCACATTTGACAAGCTAATACCTGCAGATATTTTCAACTAATTGTTTATCAAAACTGTTGCAGATCAAATTCTTTTAATTGATGAATTAATTAATAATAATAATAATTATATTTTGACTTTTTTCAGCAGCTCTTCCTGTTTGTTTGTATAATGCATTGTGGGGCAATCAACAGCACACTCTGTGTCTACATTACTATGTAGTTTGTTATTGGGACACAGCTCTGGGTTATAATGGGGCTTCAGTTTTTCTGTAGCTTTTCTCTAATTGAGCCACTAGAGAGCGCACTTTGACAGATCTGCAACTACAAGGACCAACACTTTAAGAGAACATATTACAGTCCACAGGTGCTACATCATTCACAGGCTGTATGTATTATAGTACTGTAAAATACTCTCATGCACAAAAACAGCAAACTCTCATCTGTTCAGCAGCAAAAAGCCAAAGTTTGATTTACTTGTCAGAGCTTTAACCTTCACATCTCCTCCTCCTGTGAAATTTAAACCTAATCTGTATTTATTCCTCCTTTTGGTTGTTTAGTTTTAAGTGAACCTCCTTAGTTCCTCACGGTGCTTCATCATTGAGGCGGAGCACGGATATTGGCAGCCTGTGTAGACACTCAGCCACAGTCCAAGGCTTTTCAGTCTGCGCTTCATCTCTCATGAGTGGAAACAAATTACTGAGACGTCAATGAGGCTCTATTAAACATAAATCTTGTAAAACTTCCTTTGTGTTGCCGTAATACAGGGCCTCTGCAGTACAATGCTGAGATATTTGCAACTGATCAGAGGAGGGTTTTTTTTTTTTTGGTCCTGGGTCAATGAAGTTGGGATGCCTCCAAAGGAATCTTGGTGCTGCATGCTTCTACATCTGTGCTTAATCAGACTCGTGGCTCCAGTCCCACAGTGCCAGATGACTGTGCTGTGGTGGACCTGCTGAATCACAGCACAGACAGGATGGAAAAATATTTTAGCTGACCTTTTTATCAGTGATCTGACTCAAAATCACAGTTCCACAAGCCATTTTTCATTCCTGCTAATAGTCTTCAGTGATGCCTTTGCTTGTAGTAGCGTTCTTTTTAACGTGCAGAGAGCAAAGGACAAATACACAAGACACAACTTCAGTTATATGGCTCAGCGGCCTGTTAAAGGGTTAACAATCTAATACACAGACATCCGTTATGCGTCAGATATCCTGCTGGACTGTTGAGGTGTCCACAGGCCCAGTGAGAATGAAAAGAAAGGAGCAGGATGGAGCTGTATAAGTCTGTTTCCATTTGTACCTAGTGAGCCTGCTGGAATACAGCATTTTTCTCTCACTCTCCCGCCTTCCCTCCCCCAACTCCCTTCCTTCTCTCTCTCTCTCTCTCTGATGTCATTGTTTCCTGCCCAGTAGATGCTGACGCTCAACTCAAGGCTGTGTGCACAGACCCTAAACTTAATGTATACTCTATTGATGTTGACCTATAGGAATTTACAGACACAATTAAAAGTCAGTTAAAACTCTGTAAAGTGCTGCTGCTTTTTTGTTGTCTGCATGGCAAAAAACCTTTTTCACAGCAGCCATTTTGACTTGAAATAGTAGGGTAAACAGGTTTTTACTGACACTAGTTAAGGTTCTTTAGTGTAACAGAGCCTTTACATTGAGCCGACATGTACAATAGCAGAACCCTGATTCTGTTTGACTTTCATATTCTACGGTCTATTTTATTGATGTTCTTTTTCAATCAAGCTCTCCATCAACAAACTTTTATATCAGTCATAATTAAAAGGTTACTAACCCAAATTCTACCATGAAATATGTACAGTAACTACGGATAATACGGATTTTTTTCATTATTTGGCTAAGACACACTAGTGGGGGGCCGCCGGATGATTCAGTCTAGGAAAGCGTCACTGGTAACACATAGTTTACCCTACTATTTCAGGTCAAAATGCCGTGAAAAAGGTCTTTAAACTTTACTTTAGTTTAACAGTCCTTCCAGGATAATTGCTGGCTTTTTTAGGGATTTTTGAGGCATAAAAGATTGTGATTTAACATAAATAAAAAATATGATCATCTTATAAAATATACTGCATTGCTACACATTAAACCACCTACCTAGTATATAAAGTAACTAATTGCTAATTGAGCCTGTTGGCTGACTTTATGAATCTTCTCTTCTTGTGCTTCGTTTACATTATGTGTTAGCATCTGCCAGCCAAAATACTGCTAATGGTCACCAGAAGAAGTAGCTAAACTGTAGCCAACATTTATGTGTGGAGCCCATGTGGGTATTAGATGGGGTGGTAAACAGGCCCTATATATGAGATTGTTCCATAATAGCCCCATGTCAATATGCAGGATTACACTGGGTGTTAGGTGGGGCAACCCACTTGGTACCCATGTGGGGCCCATATGTACATGTTGGTAGTGGCAAAATGGAGCAATTAAACCTTTAATTTGTTAAAAAAAGAATGTGTTGTTCATTATTTCATTTACATAGTTCTGCTTTAATGTAGCCGGTCAAAGTCGAGTAATATTTGCTACCTTATACATATTGGGTTGTATTTTGATGACAGTAAGTATAATAATTGCCTATGAAATGTTATTAATGGCATAAAATGGTAAATATTCACC